GACAAATGGTTGAGGTGATTTTTTTTTTCGTAAGTGACTTAGGTCATTAGCCTCGTGTTCTATGTAGGTTATGGATTATACTAGTAGTCTAATACTCCATAGTGCAGTAGTGCTAGTACTCTAATACTCCTGCACCCCTACAGACAGGCCATGTTACTGTTTCCCTGCGCCACTTTAAGAACAGCACTGTTAATTAGAACCCAACAGTGAATTGTCAATTGGGGAATCCTACCTATGCATCAGAATTATCATTTTTTTTTAATTAAATAAAAATCCCTGCCACCGGTGGGATTCAATCCTGAGACCTCTCGATCTCAAAGTCATGACTTTACCCACTGAGCGAACCCCACCCCCCCAATGGTGATTTATTAATATTAATAAAAAAATATTTTTTTTCCATGTTCATGATATGTAATAGAGGGGCTTCAATTTTTTTTTGTTCGAAAACGAAGTTAGATAAGAAGAAAACACAAACGACCAAAAAGTTGTATTTTTAGTTGCTTAATCTGAAAAAAATTCAAAAACTACAAAAAAGTCTGTAGCGTACATTTTTCTCTCAATGATAGTACCCACTGAGATGCCGCTGGATCCAATTTTTTCAATCTAATTAGGGCTAAATAACCAAATCGAGTTAAGGATATTTATGATATTCATAAAATACCCAATTTTTAACTTTTAAGCCCTGTACATTGTTCATAGGAGCTTTTTTCATAAAACGACCTAAGGAATCACCCTGAAGTAATTAGGAAACACCCATGATGTTATGTAAAATAGGCACTCATAAAATTCAAATTTGAATTAAAAATTGAAAATATTGCATTTTTCAATTGCGAAATATTGCATATTTCGAAATAATTTCTTATTCTGCATTTTCTTTTGATTATTTTTTTGTAACATAATTTTACAAGATTTAATGTACTTATTTAGATACTATGAGGAGATGGTACCTGAGTACGGGGTAAATAGGGGACTACAATAGACCCAAGGCTCAAGAAACTGCAGTGTTCTGGCTAAGAGGTTCTAAACTTACCTGCTAATAACCGACAAAGATAAATGTAAAAGATATCGTATACAGGGTATCTGATTAGTGTGTAATTGTTCAATATTCCAATTTATGTTATAGATAAGCAAACAAGTTTCAAATAAAATTTATATGGATTTGATAAATACATATTTTAAACATATTTTTGGATATACAGGTTGCTGCGTTTTTGCCAGACAAATAAAAATGTATATTTTTTTAAATAGAACTCCCTTTATGTTATTTCAGTTTTAGAATGGTCTACTAATACTGTATCCAACCATAAAATGTTTTAAAAAAAATATTACAGGCTTGCCAAGCAATTTTTTTTATGAAATTAAAGAATGATGCATAACCCAAATTCTATTATCATAATTTTGGTAGGTTTAGAATGATTTCAAAATTGTTTAAAATACAGACTAATAAGCTAACGAATAGTGGTGATAAAAATGATTTATTTCATACAGAATGTTTTGAAACATATCTTAAATATGTCTAATTTTAAGTTTAATTTACTCAATTTACACCCTGTTTATTATTCTAGTATAAAATTTACATATCCAACGATACCAACATGTTACCCAATAACACATATACAGGGTGTCCCATCAGTGCGTAATTGATCGATAGCTGTTTTATTATTGGAAATACGAAAAATTTTAATAATAAAGTTGTGACCATATTTTTGACAAATATTCTTAAATATACACCTAGTTCTAGGTACATATTTAATTGTTTTTGCATCGTCAAACAATTTTAATACACTTCATTAATTTGCTATGTTGTATAAGATGTTTCCAATCGCAATGTTACGTTTTTCTCAATTTTTCAAATGGAATAACCCTGTATATTATACCACCAATTAATTATTCAACTTACCATAAATCGTAATAAACGAGTAAATTAATTAATTAATCAATTGGTGGTATAACATACAAGGTATTCCATTTAAAAAAAAAATGAGAAAATCGTAAACTTGCGTTTGGACACACCCTATACAACATAGCAAATTAATGAAGTCTATTAAAATTGTTTGACGATGCGAAAACAATTAAATATGTACCTATAACTAGGTGCAGGGTATTTTGCTTTAAAAAAGTGTAGGTTTGGTCAGCCCCTCGTTTATGGACTATCCTGTAAATTGAAGAATAATTGTTAAATATATAATTGATAAATGTATATTTGATCAATAATATTATTATTGATCAATTATACATTGATGGGACACCCTGTATATGTGTTATTGGCTAACATGTTGTTCGTTGGATAGGTAAATTTATAAGGATTTTTATGCTAAAATAATATACAGGATGTTGCATTTGAAAAAGTTGAGTAAATTGAACTTAAAATTAGTCATATTTAAGGCATTTTTCAAAACACTCTGTATAAAATAAACCAGTTATATTATCACTACTTGATAGTTTAGTATATTATGAGTCTGTATTTTAAAACATTTTGAAATCATTGATAACCTGCCTAAATTATGATAATTTAATTTGGGGTCTGCATCATTCTTTAATTTCATAAAAGAAAAATTGCTTACAACCCTGTGAATTTTTTTTTCTACACTCTCATGGATATTAGCATATCTACGCACAGATTATAAAACGTAAAAGTATGCTATTGCCTTCAACTGAACGATTATAATTCATATCAATTGCAGGTAGTGAGAACACTGCAAAAAAAATTAAATCCACCAATCACCGTTCATATTTTGATCAACTGACTGCTATTATTTTTAAAATTTTAAATATTTGACAATTCTGTCAAACTAATTGTCAGTATATATTTTAGTTATTGAGATTAAACATACATTAAAATGGGTTATTCTTGTGTAGAATAGATAAATAATAGCATTTCTGTTTTTATTTCGTCTATAATTATAAATAATTTGTTAATTTAAATAAAACTATATGAAGTCAATTTAATTACGAGTATTAAAGCAACAAAAATAAAAGAATAGATGATCCTGTGGTCAGCGTTCTAGCCGTCCACACATAAGGCTGGAGTTCGATTCTCGGATAGGGAAAAATGGAATGAATTTTTTTCTTTTTTTTTTTGTTTATTTTATTTTAAAAATTATAAAAAGTCATACCTAAATTATTTTAAAATTAATTATTTTGTCTTAATAACCTAAAATATTTTTTTATTGGTAAATTTTCGTTAATAGGTCGTAGAAAAAATATACTTTACAACTCTAGTGGATTGTCCACATCGCACTCAGGCGATTGAGCACTCAGCCTACGGCGTCGATATGGCCATCATATCCACTCTTGTTGCACAAACTACTATTAGAAACATTCTAGGGTTGAATACCAAATTTATCTAAAACTGAAATAAAATACAGGGCGTTTTTATTTTCCAGACAAAAATATTTTTCAAATCCATGTAACTTTTATTTGAAAAATGTTTACGTGTCTATAACACAAATTGAAATATGGAACAATTACGTACTAATGGGACACCTTGTATATAAATAAAAATATGTTTTACCATGAAAATAAAATATACATACGTTTTGTAATATTCCTACAGTAAGATTTCTCCGGTCATATTAGTTAATAAACCCATAGCATACATAGTGAATCAATAAAGGAAAAGTATCGATTTTTGGAAAAATTCTTACATGACAGTATTTTTAACATAATATTCCTATATACAAGATGATGCATGTAATTGTAGTAATTTCATCATAATCCTATTTTTTATTCCATATTCTGACACTGCCTCTTGAGCTAGCCAAAAAAAAATATACTCCTAAGTTTATTGTAGAGCTTGATTACTATCCGAAGAGCATTACTTTACAATGCGCAGAAACCAGATTGAATTTATAGATGGTAGGCGTGGTCACAGACCTCCCAGCGTCTTATTTATAATACTGCACAGTTGCAAGGTTTTAAGCGGTCACATTATTTGTTTCACAGATCTCTTTTTAACTACAGGCATTTGCATCGACAAAGACGCGACCAGCCAGAGCGCAGTAGCATATCAAAAAAAAATAGAGATTAACATGTATGAAAATAATAAAAATATTACAAGTGTAAATTAAAAATTTAAAAAAACCGACTTCAAAAACATGCAGATGCCATCACCACACCTTAACCAAATTTATATGGGGCGGCTCAAGCACAGCCCTAGACACACCACTGATTTTTATATGCGTTTTTTGTACAATTACTCCTGACTTACTCTTAGTTTTGTTGATATGCTAAGTACAGGACGGACGAATTGCTCTAGATATGCAGTTAAAAAATTGTAAATAGCTCCTTAACTAAGAAAGATACAAAGTTCATTTTGCTATAAAAAAAATTAAAAATTCATAGTTCTTTTTGATTTTTAGATCGCAAGTTTCTTTATGACAAAAAAATACGGGGGGGGGGGTTAAAAGATACCCAACCCCCAACTTTTAATTTTTTTTTCTCTTTGTAATATTGTGCCTTTAAATCTACAGCACTGGCAAAAATTAAAAAAAAAATTTGCAACAGCAAACTTTTTACAAAAAAAAAAACATTTTTTTGAATGTAACTGTAACTTTGTTAGGAGCCAGTTTTTGATATAGGTAAATATAGCCAAATTCACTTATTTTTTGATAATCTATCTGTGGAAGAATTTATGACATACCTTTTTGAAACACCCTGTATAATTGGACGGCCAAAATTCTGGTAATGGGAGGGGGGGGGGGGCTGCGTGATCACCAACGTCAGTGTTTAAACCTGGTAGTTACAAATAGGCGGACGTTAAAAATAAATTATTAAAAAAACTGTATATATCATATGACCTCGGATGAATATGGATACTTAAATAGGTATAAAAAAAAACGTTTTGATTTAGATATTCAATTTCAAGATTTAGTATCTGCTTCATATACCTCAAATAATAATAACCTGTCTTTATTTTTGAAACTCAAATAAATCAAATTACAATAAGAAACATCGATATATTGAAATATTTCACCAATTTTTCTATTTTTTCTGTTCAGGTATGCGTTTCTCTATGGACGTCTCCAGGGACGAAGTCAAAGCCTTGGCGGCCTTGATGACGTTCAAATGCGCATGCGTCGACGTACCGTTCGGTGGTGCCAAAGCCGGAGTCAAGATCGATCACAAGAAATATTCCGAACATGAATTGGAGAAGATCACCAGGAGATTTACCTTGGAATTGGTCAAGAAAGGGTTCATTGGTAAGCGAAAAGTTGAAATATTTCCTGATACTCAATATTTACAGTCATGAAATTATTGAAATTGTTACACAATTGTTAGCCAATGAAACTGCGTAGGCCAGAGGTTTTATGACCCTTTGATTTTACAAAAAATATAGAATAATATTAGGTAGGTATTTTATTTTTATTATATAAATTTCAAATCAAATTATGATGTCTAATTCCTGGTGAATTGGCTTCACTTTAATTATCGCCATTTGGAAAATTTACTGAATGAATAAACATAACGCGACAGGTGCTAAAAATTTATATCTATCTATACTAAAAATAAATTAGTTGGAGGCATATTCTACGACAGGCTTATCATTGGTTGTTTGCAATTTCGACTAGCTGTGTTTGTCCATAGTTAAAAATAAATTACTGATATATATTATGTTGTCAGAAATAATACACACGTGTCGAAGCTAAACGGAACAACCAAATTCTATTTAAAACAAAAGTTACATACATAATTTTCACTAGTAATAGTAATCTCTCTTAAAAACCCTACTCATTATCGTTATTGTTTCCAAAAATCAATAGTTTTTTTAGTTTTTAACTAATTTTACTAAAAAAACAACAGTTAAATACCTAGGTACCTACCATGGAGGTCATTGTTATTTTGAACTAATTGGAATAAAGATAACAAGCATTAGAAATTTGCAAATCATTGTTATTTGTATTTACTTAAAATTTTGTATTTTTTTATTTAAAATAATATAAATAATAACCATTGAAAATGTATTAACCATTTATAATTATTATAAATAAATACCAATATCTCCCTAAGAATGTTCGAACAACAAATATAATTTTCTCAAAAAAAAAAAAAAAACAGTGTGTAACACCCAAATGGAATAAAAATAATTACTGTGCATATTTATACAAAAATCCTGAAACATTTAAATTTTATTTTAGTTTATAAAATGATATCCTGTAACGTGGACATTTTACCCCTACCTTCGAGTAACAGTTTTAACCCTCCAATTTATAAAAAAAGGAGTAGGGGCTTGAGATATCTCATTTGAAAGGTCTCTTCATTTTCTAATCAAAAATGCTGTGATTTTTAAATTTATTGCAAAAATTAACAGCAAAAAATAAATTAATTACTAATAGAGTTTCGTTCTTGATAATGTAAAAAAAAAATAGCAAAAAACATCAAGTTAAATGTAGATGTTTAAAATACATGCTTCAAACGTCCTAGTAGCATAATCGTAAATAAAATTGTCTTCAAACGTTAAACAACATCTGAGGCGTGATCGACGTAATCGCAATGTTATTCTTATTTTTAAATCAGCTAAATCGCGTAGTTTTAGTTGCACGAATTACAATTAAAAAAATTAATCAATAAATACAGATATACCAAATAGACGGCAAAAACCTCAAAGTTAGTTAGCAGTATTACCAACACGACGGCAATATTTCCAAAATTAATAGTTTAAATGCAATTATTGTCATTCTAAAATAATGTCGTGAACCACCATGAGCCGACTCTGATCACCCGCTGCCTTTACAGCTGTCGCTTCGCCTGTTTCGATGCCGCAGGACAGAGACAAACGCACTGCTTCGAGAAGCTACCGAAGTGATCTCTGTGCGGCGTTTAAGTCATAAAGAGGAAGTTCCCGAACGTTCTAGGTGGTCGAGAGTGTTCTGGCTCAGAGCTGGCTTTATATAAATAGCGCGAGTTTGTCGATGGACGGGAAGTTTCAAATTAAGTGCTGTATAGAAAAGATAAATTGTAATAAATAAATTATAATTTTGAGTTATAATAGTGCCTAAGTATTACAAAAATTAATTAGTAGGTCATAAATAAATTATAAAGTGTTTTAAATAAATAAACTATAAATAAATTAATCAAACGTTACAATAATCTATTGAGTCGCGAAACGAATGGCAATCGTAAATCTTTATTTCAACGTGTATTTACCAAAATTCATCGCGCGATAAAACTCAGAGCTGGTTCTCCGACGGCGGTTATTTATTTATTTATTTATTTATTTATTTATTTATTTATTTATTTATTTATTTATTTATTTATTTATTTATTTATTTATTTATTTATTTATTTATTTATTTATTTATTTATTTATTTATTTATTTATTTATTTATTTATTTATTTATTTATTTATTTATTTATTTATTTATTTATTTATTTATTTATTTATTATATTAACGGCAAAATTCCCTTTTCAGTTAAATACAATGTTTGGTATAATATTATAGAACATAATAACAAAAAATATTAATGCAATAAAGTTACTTGAGAACATTTGTAAAAAAAATACACCTTCATTAAAAAGATTAGAATAAATTATACTAAACTGCACCCTTAAGAGTTTCCATTAATGGGCTGACAGGGCCAAATAAATTGAGATCAGCATGGTAGGTATTTACCAACCTAGCAGAACGGGACCATGAAGGTATTACGTCCATAATTCGTCATGTGGAAGAGTATTTGAAATGTGTTTGATGCACGGGCAGTCCTGCGCTGTATGGTGGAATCGAGACCTTTCCAAAAAAAAAAAGAGCAGAAGTTCGTAAACTCTTTAACCTGTCCAAAAGGTCGGGGAACTAGGAAGCCTATAAGGCGTACCGGAGAGAATATGGCCATTCCATTAGGAAAGCCAAAGAAAATTCCTGGAAGAAATTCTATGACGGCATTGAAAGCCCTCCAGAATGTGCCAGACTCGGGAAAACTTTATAGAGAGATAAGCAAGGATGCATGGGATCTCTGAAAAATCAACAAGGAGAACTCACAAAAACAGAGGAGACTTTAGATTTACTACTAAAGTCACACTTTCTTGGATGTGAGATTATTCTTGACCAAGAGAACAGGAGTACCGAGGCACTAATTTCTAGGGCCTCAAAAACAAATTGGTCTCTTGCAAACTCAATAGTAAACAGAACAAAACTTGTGTGGGCGATAAATTCTCTTCAACCATACAAAACAGCTGGACCTGATGGTATAATCCCGTCACTTCTACAAAAGGGCCAGGAAGTACTGTAGGGACCACTGTAAACTATTCCGAGCTAGCATAGTCCTCGGATATGTTCCACAAAGCTGGAGGTGTGCAAGAGTGGTCTTCATTCCCACACCCGCAAAAGCGTCTTACGAGGAGACCAAATCTTTTAGACCAATCAGCCTAACATCATTTCTCCTAAAAACATTGGAGAAATTAATCGATAGATATATACGGGACGATGTTCTACGGGATAAACCGATACATCGATACCAGTTTGCCTACCAATCTGGAAAGTCTTGCGATGCAGCCATACATAGGCTAGCTCAACAGGCTGAACAAGCATTGGAAAGCAAAGAAATAGCACTAGGTGTCTTCCTAGATATAGAAGGAGCCTTTGACTCGGCTTCATACAATTCAATACTGGGATCTATGCACAGGTGTGGAGTAGCCCCCACTGCATTACGAGGTGGGTCGAGTTCATGCTTAATCATAGAACCATTACCAGTAATCTCCTTAACACAACAAGAGAGGAGTGTCATCTCCTCTTATGTGGACCTTGGTGGTTGATGACCTCTTATCGGAGTTAGAGAGAGAGAAAACTTATACACGCAAGCATTTGCAGACGACATAAGCATCGTAGTAAACGGTAAATTTGGGTCTGTTGTATCCGAAAGGAGGCAGCGGGCACTAAATATCGTCGAAAGATGCCTTAAAGAGGGATTATCCACAAACCCGACAAAAATCTGTTGTTGCATTCACAAAAAAAGGAACCTTCAAAGAATGAAGGAGCTTTATATGTGGGGGCAACATCTAAAAATGGCAAAAGAGGTTAAATATCTTGGAATAACTCTGCAGCCATATAGAAAAAAAAACAACAGAAAAGCTGTAAGAATACTATGGGCATGTAGACGGATGGTAGGGAACATATGGGGGCTTAAACCAAGTATGATGCACTGGCTTTACACTATGGTTGTAGTACCTGTTATAAATTACTCATCAGTCATATGGGGGCACAAGACTAAAAGCATAACAGCTAACAGAAAATTAGACAAAGTGCAAAGACGAGCCTGTCTAATAATAACAGGGGCATTTAGAACTACGCCCACAGCAGCAATGGAGCTACTCCTAGGTCTTCCTTCACTACACCTTGTTTTGTAGAAGGAGGATATTGCGGCGGCATACAGGCGTTTACTAATGGATTTGGATTGGAACAATGATATTAGAGAAATTAAAACAAAATCCGGTACTAAGAATGCCATCGGATAGAACGCCCATTATTCACGACTTCAGGAAACCTTTCGATATTCAAATACCAGAAATCAATCTGATGGGATAGAAACTGTGAGGGGTACAACAAGCTTCAGTACAAGTGGGCTTTGAACCACGCCCTAATTCAGATAGATAGACGGGTAGTCCTGAATGGAACATGAATTCCTATCGTTTGTAATAATTGAGCACATGGAACTACGGAATTAAGGATGTTATACAGGGTGTTTCAAAAAGATTGGTCATAAATTATACCACATATTCTTGGGTCAAAAATAGAGCGATTAAACCGTACTTACCTATATACAAAAGTGCACCCAAAAATAGTATAAGATAAAAATTTAAATGAATTTTTTTAACGTTGCTCTTAAACCGTTTAGCATTTTTTCATGACATTTTATATGACGTGTTAAAATACCATGACTAATAATAATACCGAGGAAGAGTCAATATTTTTTTCTTGATTTTTATAGGTTTTTGGAGGGGATCACCGCTCTTTTCTCCACTCAACTTTTTTGTAGTATAAAATGAAACGCCACTGGAATGCAACATCCATTTGGAAACTTTTTTGTCTCTTAGTATTTGTTTGTAAAAAATTTAGTTTAGACGATATAGCCATTTAAAATGACAACTTAAATATATTCAATGGAAATTCTATGTATGAAAAATATCAAAATCAAGTTTATTTTTGAATTACAAACTAATGTCATCAAAATAAAAAAAAATAATTTAACAGGTGTTTAAAATTATAT